ACGTGGAGAGGACTGTGTTGAATCGGGGTGCGGGTAGGAGACCTGCCTGCATCCTAGAGTGGGCTTTGCATCCCACCCCCGCTGCTCCGGCTACTTTCCACATCTTATAAATAAAAGACTGGACTGTGTCACCTTTTATTCCCCCAAATTGAGGTCGAATTCACACAACATAAAATTAACCATTTTAAGGTACACATTTTAATGGCATTTAGTACATTCACAATGTCACGCAACTGTCCCCTCTATCTAGTTCCCAATTATTTTCATCCTCCCCAGGAGAGACTACTCCCCACCCAGTTAAGCTGGACCCACATCATCTTTTAAGGACTCTTCCAATTCTGTGACCCTTCAGCCCCCAAATAGAAGCTAGGCTCAATCATCTCTGAAAAAAACAAAACAAACAGACAACAACAACAAAAAAAACACAACTCTCCAGACTGCACAGACATTGAGATTACCCCTAAAAGTAGAGCATCTAAATATTTGTCCCTAACAAACACAGTTGGGATGGACGACCTGAGCCACCCTGGCGAGTGATTCTGTGACTGACCATGACGGGGCCAGCTGTGTTTTCTTGCTATCGGAAACTTCCATGTTGTGCCCAGTTGGGCGCCCACCAAGTAGGATTCCTGGCAATGGAGACCCAGTATTTGCGCAAATACTTTTGGCTCCGGGACACAGGATTTGTACCGTTTTCTTATCACCTTCTGGAAAAACACTGTCCCTTTTTTCTTTCCCTAGTAAGAGCCAGGCTTTTCTCCGAACAGATTCCTGAACCGAGGGACATTTTTGTAGTCTCCCCCTGGGGGGACACAGGGATGTCGTGGTCTTACAGAGGGAAAGTGGCGTATCTGCGCTCAGGTTGGGTCTGCCATGACCACCTAGGCCACCCCTGCAGAGGTCACATGAGAACACAGAGGAAGGTGCTTAGTAGCCGGACAGCTCTGGACCAGCACCTGCTGTGGGGATGGGTCATGACATATTCTGGACAGCCAAAGGCAGCAGCCAACCCTCCCCCTGGACAGGGGCTAATCCTGTGGTGACCGGCCATGTAGGGGCACTTCTCTGATAGGACCATCACATGGGTCTGCTGATAAACCAAACTTCCTGAAGTTCTTGAGGAAACTGTTTCTTAAAGCACTTAGCACTATGGTGTGAGGACAGCTATATACCCCGTGGGTCAAGAGCAAAATGAAAATGCAGGGCCCCTCACTCAAAAAGGACAAAATCCTGTTTTTCTCACTCTTCCATGGTCTCTCTGCCTGTCACGGTGTGTTTCCTTTGCTATCTCATGTAACCATCCATCAGGCATGGGGACACCCATGGAGAGCCAGTGCGGGCCCCCACCTGGCCTTTCTATACTTGTGCCCAGGCCCCTGTCAGGGGTGGAAGGCCGCAGTGGTCACCAGACAGAGGGACAGAAGGGACAGGCAAGCAGGTGGTTGAGAATCTGTCCCAAGGGCACGGAAAGGCTGTGGGGAGGCATGACCCTATAGGAGCCAAGGCACCTGCTCCACGATCCCACAGCTGCCCCCTGTGACCCAGACTTAAAACAGGATCATTAGAAATTTCAAGACTGTGGCCCCAGAACGTGAAGCCCTGAGAGGGGCCCCCTTCCAGAGTGGGACATGTCCACGAGCCCATGAAGCCAGCCTGGGGGTGAGGAGGTGCTTGGTGTGCTTGAGGACTCGATGCCAGGGTTGCACAGGGGAAAGAGGCTCACGGGCTTAGGGTTTGAGGACACACCTGGCAAAATGGCAAGAGTAGCTGCTCGGTCAGTGTTTGTTGAAGGAGCAAACGTGATTCTTTTCTCCAGACTCAGTTCCCTGCTTTATAAAGTGGGAACGATAATGGCCAGGTGCAGTGGCTCACACTGGTGATCTCAGTACTCCAGGAGGCCAAAGTGGAAGGACTATTTGAGCTCATGAGTTCAAGACCAGTCTGAGCAAGAGCAAGACCCTGTTTCTACTAAAAATAGAAAAACTAGCCAGGCATCATGGCACATGCCTGTAGTCCCAGCTACTCAGGAGGCTGAGACAAAAGGATCACTTGAACTCAGGAGTCTGTGAGCTAGGTGGAGGCCACAACACTACCCAGGGCAACAGAGTGAGACTCCATCTCAAAAAAAAAAAGAAAGGAATAAACCATGTAATGCATTTCATTTCTGGCCCTTGGAGAAAACCCAGTAGTATTAATACTATTATCCCAGTGTTGGAAACATGATGTCTAATAAAGGTTTGGGCCAAGCATTCCTAGAGAAAGTGACACTTCAGCAAACTGGACTCAAAACTTCTATTTACCTTTTTAAACCTGTCTGATTATCTTGTATGAAGACTGCTCAGGTGATGGGCACACGAATAGCCCCGACTCAAGCCCTGTAGAAGATGCCCATGTAAGAAGAACATTCGCACCCCCTTAAAATGTGAAATTATTAATTAAAAACAGAGATGTAGCTGGGTGGTGACCACAGATGGGAAGGAGATGTATAGTCGGCAAGCAACGCAACACGGCGGCAGCCTCGGGGGAGTCGGAGTCGCCGTCCAGTGTGAAGCCGCCTTCTCAGTGTCTGATCTCCCTTCTCCTGAAGCAGTTTTGCATCTGGGATCAACTTTTTTTTCTTTCCAAAAGGAAAAGTGTCCCGGACCTAAGGGAAGACTCGCTTAATTAAGTAGGGGGTCTCTAGAGTGTTAGCTCCAGAAATGACAACGTGACTCCCCACCTTGTGGCCACCCCACCCCATGCCTTACCCCAAGCACTGCCAGAGGCGTCCACATGGGGTCCAACCGAGGGTCCTCCGCGAACCCCCCAGCAGGATGGCACTGTGGCCACCTCTTTGGACCCCCGATGAAACCAAAGGCAGCTGCCTGCTTTGGAGGCCTCTCTGCCACTGAGCCAGCGGTCGGATGGGGACACCGCCAGCGCCTCTGGCGATGCCCTCAGAGATGTTGCTGAAGGAATCCCCTCTGGGACAGGCAGAGGCAGGGTCCCCGGCTGCCATCTGCTGAGGGATGAGGGAACTTTGCTTGTGTTTTGCCTGTGTGCCCTCAAAACCATCGCCTTGGGCCACTTTTTCTTCCAGTGAACTCTACTTTGAGGTAAGCCTGAAGCCTAAAGTTTACTTTTTAGCATTTTGATAAGGGACAATTGCAGGAGAATGAGGTCTTCCTTCCGCACGGTAAAGGCTCAGAGTTAAGAGATCGGATGGAGGCTGGCAGTGGACTCACTGCTCCCGTTTTAATTGAACCAGCTGTTTCTCTCCTGGTTGACCAGGAGCACGAACACCTGAATTTATGGGTAGCATTTAGAACTCCAAGTAAGTTCTGATTTCTTATGTTTGTTTTCAATCTGTGTGCCCTTCCTGGGAATCAAACCTTTTACAGTTTTATTAGCAAGATGGGACTCTCTACCAATTTGGTGAGCTGAACGGCCCAGGCACACATGTGGGTATTGTATATTTCCGGCGGTGCCCCTGGACGGCTGAGTGAAGTGAGGTGCTGAGGGAGCTCCAAAGCCTTGTCCTTGTTGGGTTTAGACACAACACGAAGTTATGCATGGCCGAAGGCACAATGAAGCAAGAATTCCAGTGTCCTCAATCGGGAAAACCTTAAACAAGAAGCACCTCATATTATGTTTACACTGAAAGACCTGACTGCTTGAATACAAGGCTGAATAAATGGGGTGATAATTTTGGTGGAAATTGGGGACGGGCGTGTGCCTAAGGGAGCAGTGTGCACCCAGTGCTGGGGGATGTCCCCTGACTGCTCTCCGTGGGAGGCGGCCGCCACGCACCCTGCACTTGCCTCTCCCTCTTTACAAGTGCCTCACAGGAAAGTCTCAGTGGGTCATCCCACACGCCACGGGGCAGGAACCAAGTCCCTACCGACCTTGTCTGAGGTAGAGGGGCTTCCACAGAACGCTGTAGCTGGCCGTGAGGAGCTGGGGCCCAGCCCTGCTCTCCTGACTTCTCACCCACTGTTCTCAAACTCCAGCCAGCAACCTTGATAGCTCATTAAATTGGACTGAAGTCCCGATGGCTTGCAAAAGAAATTCTTTACAACTGTTATAAAGGTTTCATTACTTAAATGTCATCTAGCAAAACCGCCAAGCCCCCTCCACTCCCCAAACTCTCACACTTGAGAATTGTCTCATTAACTCCAGGAGTAACTGCACCCAGACCAGAACTACTTGGAGAGTACACGGAAGGTTCTAGAAAAGGCACCGGTACCTCGCAAAGAGTGACATGGTACTCTAGAACCCAGCTTGCTTGTACTCAAATCCTCTCTCTGCGGCCCACCAACCAGCCGTGAGTAGCTACTCTATCGCTCTGCCTCAGTTTCCTTATCTGTACACAGGGTTGTTCATAGTCACCACCTCAGAGGTGGGAATGAATTGGTGCAATACATGCCAGCCTACTATGTGCTATAGTTATAAAGATGACCAAAATAGGCAAAAGTCCCTGTCCTCTTGGAGTTTACATTTGGGGTGGGGGTTATACAGTAGACACGCAATACAGCTGTTAGCCCCCAGTTGGGCCACATGTTACAGATTTTTGCCAATGAGCTGAACATTCGCCTGAGTTCGGGCACATCTTTTCCCTGAACTTTGACTGTGGGGTGACACCTTGTAGCTGTGCTGTTTTGCCAATCAGCAGCCATTGGTGCTGCCAGCAACCTTTGAAGTCTAGGAGGTGCCCTGGCCCACCTTGTCCTCGGCCTCACCCGCCTGTCAAGAGAAAGGCATTCTGTTTTGCATCAGCAAGAAACTGGGTCAAAGTTTAGTCAATCAGAAGTTGTGTAAGAACTCACTATGGTTGGGGCAGGGCCTGTGGGCTCCCAGCACTCATTAACTCTTCAACGATTATCTCCCTGTGGTTTATTGTGGTGGGCTGGTCCAAAGAGTAACTGACCCTGGCTGTGATCCAGAGACCTGCCCCTGACGTCAGAGGCGAGCCTCCCTGGGTGCAGCCAAGGGGCAGGGCTATTCTCTCCATGGGTATTTAGAGCCAGGAGTTTCTGCCACCAAGCACAGCCTTCCCACTGGGAGCTCACGCTGGCCAGCAGGAAGAACCCAGGAAGGAACCCAGGGATCTCTGATTGAGATCTTCCAAAGAGAATAGAGGTAGGTAGCGTGCTTATATTTACATTTCTACAGAGAAAATGTAAGCTTGTTGTCTTTTTTTTCTTAGAGCAATAACTACCTGGAGATCTGTGAGCCCAACAAAAGTCCATCGAGTGTGTGTGTGATGATGTCCACGGTTGTTTTTGCTCAGGATGCTGGCCTTTTCTATTTCAGGTAACTTTGGCATTCGTGCCCCCAGAACCACTCTGCAGAAATGCCTCCTCAGCTGAAAAATGGCCTGAACTTCTCAGCCAAAGTTGTCCAGGGCACCCTTGACAGCCTGCCCCAGGCAGTGAGGGAGTTTTTGGAGAGCAGCGCCCAGGTGTGTCAGCCTGAGTACATCCACATCTGTGATGGCTCCGAGGGGGAGAACACACGGCTTCTGGAGCACATGGAGGAGCAGGGTGTCATCAGGAGGCTGAGGAAGCACGACAACTGGTAAGCTCGGGTTGCACGGTTCGCCTCCCGCCCCGGCATGCACACCTCCCCTCCAGTTCCTCGTTGTTGGCAGGAGGAGGTGAATGAAGGCTTCTGGGGGGGTTGCAGAGTCTTGAAAAACTTAATCTGTGTCAGAACCGCACAGATTTTAATGTCATGCCCTCAGTAGAGCAGTCCAGGCCTTAAGCGAGAGATGGCACACACCGAAAGACTAGCTCTTGTTTTAGCAAAGGTCTCCCTGGCCGTGTCCTGGTAGGTTTGGTTCGTCACAGTCACGAAACACATTAATGCACTCAGCATCCTGCCAGGGCGGAATACGTTAATGAATAAAGCCGGTCTGCTCTGAAGGATGCTCGGCTGAGGGAATCCTGTGATTTTTGCAGCTGGTTGGCTCTCACTGACCCCAGGGATGTGGCCAGGATTGAAAGCAAGACAGTTATCATTACCCAAGAGCAAAGAGACACCGTGCCCATCCCCAAGACTGGCGCCAGTCAGCTGGGCCGCTGGATGTCAGAGGAGGACTTTGAGAAAGCGTTCAATGCCAGATTCCCAGGGTGCATGAAAGGTGCGTGGAACGTTTGTTTGATCAGGCAAAGTAGCAGCAACCCTTTTCTCATTACATCTATCCCAATGGTAATTATAACAGTTGTGGAACCCTCCCCCTGCCCCCAGCTTCAGAGCTTTTGACTCCATGTGCGAACTTGGCCACATATCAGAAACACTCATCTCATTCTGCCTTTGCAGACCGCCTCCTATGAACGTGAAAACTGTTTCCATGCATCTGCCTTTAAAATAGCTTTGTGGAGCCCATGGGTGCATTTATGAAAACTCTTTAAATTTCACAGGCTATTCACTTTCCGGTGCACTCTTCTAACCTAGCGGGTGGGGACCACCAGGGGGCAGTGTTGTCTGACAGACCATGAGAACTGGTCCATCCAGGACAGTGGTGTTGGTTGCGTTTGTGAGTCCAGGGTCATGTCTCACCAGTTTCATCAATCTGACCCCACAGGTCGCACCATGTACGTCATCCCGTACAGCATGGGGCCGCTGGGCTCTCCACTATCAAAGATCGGCATCGAGCTGACGGATTCTCCCTACGTGGTGGCTAGCATGCGGATCATGACGCGGATGGGCACACCTGTCCTGGAAGCGCTGGGAGATGGGGAATTCATCAAGTGCCTCCATTCTGTGGGGTGCCCCTTGCCTTTAAAAAGTAAGTGTATTACTTCAAACTCAAAAGTTAAAATTAAAAAGTGAGCTTCACCTCAAACCCGTGCCCTGATGGGGACTCCCCAGATGGGGGACATGACCCACTAATGGTTTCACATTTGCAGAACCTCTGGTGAACAACTGGGCCTGTAACCCAGAGCTGACGCTCATTGCCCACCTGCCGGACCGCAGAGAGATCATCTCCTTTGGAAGTGGATATGGCGGGAACTCCCTACTCGGGAAGAAGTGCTTTGCTCTCAGGATGGCCAGCCGCCTGGCCAAGGAGGAAGGCTGGCTGGCAGAGCACATGCTGGTAAGCCTGGAGAATCCTGACACGTGCCTGCAGGAGGGATGGGGGTGGCAGACAGCACTGCAGTCTCCATGAGAGGCAGGACCCAACCCTCTGCACGTGGGTCAGGAAATCCCATCCGTCACTATCAGGGCACCAGCGTATGTCCCTTCTGAAGGGACTTAGACACAGTGAGGCCAGTAGAAATCCTTTGGACTTGGTTATTTTGAAAACGTCAATTTGTGCTGATAGGTGGAGACATAGATATTGAGCGACCACTTTTAGGGGACTTCTAGGCTCAAGTGCTCTGGTAGAGAAAGGAACAAAGATCGTAAGGAAGAATTTGCCTCCAACAGATCCTGGGTATAACTAACCCTGAGGGCGAGAAGAAGTACCTGGCGGCAGCGTTCCCCAGTGCCTGCGGGAAGACCAACCTGGCCATGATGACCCCCACCCTCCCTGGGTGGAAGGTCGAGTGCGTGGGGGACGACATCGCCTGGATGAAGTTTGACAACCAAGGTGACACTTTCAGGCCCAGCTGGGGATGCCAACAGGGCTCCAGTGAATTGTTGACCTCAAAATTTGCCAAACCCTCCTAAATCCAGAGTTTGGGTTTTTAATTCAGTTGGTTCCAAGTTTGCAAAGCCTTAGAAATATGTATTCTGGAAGCATTCCTTAATATTCGATCTGGATTGAAGAGGGACCATACGTTGCTATTTGTTTTCATACATAAATTTATTTAAATGGTATCGGTGGGAAACTAAAGAGTTGTAAAAGGTTTCAAAGTGGAATGTGATGCCTAGATGGAAAAGAGATAAATGTATCCCCTAGAGAGGGAAAGGAGAGATTTGGGAATCTGGCACACAGACGAGTCCAGCAAGATAGGAGAATACGTGTCATTCTTGGCACAGCATTCACTACTTCTCTGGTTTGAAACTTGCCAGGTAATTTAAGGGCCATCAACCCAGAAAATGGCTTTTTTGGTGTTGCTCCTGGAACTTCTGTGAAGACAAACCCCAATGCCATCAAGACCATTCAGAAGAACACCATCTTCACCAACGTGGCCGAGACCAGTGATGGGAGCTTTTACTGGGAAGGCATCGACGAGCCTCTGGCCGCAGGTGTCACCATCACTTCCTGGAAGAACAAGGAATGGCGACCAGAGGATGGTAAGTCCCCTCCAGAGGCCTCGGACTCCAGGCTGCAGGTGTCACCTGCTTGGGGCAGATGCTAAGGAAATTCCCCGTCTTGTTGTAGGGGAACCGTGTGCTCACCCCAACTCGAGGTTCTGCACCCCTGCCAGCCAATGCCCCATCATCGACCCTGCCTGGGAGTCTCCGGAAGGCGTGCCTATCGAGGGCATCATCTTTGGAGGCCGCAGACCTGCAGGTGAGGCTCCCCCTTCACTTTAGGCTGGGGAAATGGCCGTGCTGGCTCCTGGGGGGCATTGGTGGCACCCGTCCTTTTCCATGACCTTGTCAGAGGGTGCCAAAGAACTTGAACTTCCTTTCCCAACATCCAGAATAACCAGCTAGCTCGAATATCGAAACAGCCCTTTGATCACCTAGAATCCTTCTGGATCCTTGATCCAGTGTAGCTAGATCCAGTTTGACTTTTTACTTAGTGACCCCTGGGGTGTAACTTTGAGCGGTTTTCTGCACTTTAGCTCAGTAAATGCAAGATTCCCTGGTACACAGCTGTTGTCTTGCTATGTCTTTCCCCATCGTGATCTATGGATATGTCAAAGGCTTTAAGGAACTTTCCTTTGTCCTGCTAAAGGTGTCCCTCTGGTCTACGAAGCTCTCAGCTGGCAGCATGGGGTGTTTGTCGGGGCGGCCATGAGATCAGAGGCCACAGCCGCTGCAGAACACAAAGGTAAGCCAATGTCCCAGTTTGAAACCACAGGAAAGGGGGACTAGGGCTATCTCTGTCCCTGTTTCTCTCTCTCCCTCTCTGTGTCTGCATGTGAACAGAGTATGAGAGAGAAAACCAGGCACACTTAAGTCAACAGTGGCAGGGGCCAGCATTGCCTGGAGAACATCACTTACCACCTCCCCCCTTAACAGGCAAAGTCATCATGCATGACCCCTTCGCCATGCGTCCCTTCTTCGGCTACAACTTTGGCAAATACCTGGCCCACTGGCTGAGCATGGCCCAGCACCCGGCAGCCAAGCTGCCCAAGATCTTCCATGTCAACTGGTTCCGGAAGGACAAGGAAGGCAAATTCCTCTGGCCAGGCTATGGCGAGAACTCCAGGGTGCTGGAGTGGATGTTCAACCGTATCAATGGGAAAGACGTGGCCAAGCTCACGCCCATAGGCTACATCCCCACCGAGGACGCCCTGAATCTGAAAGGCCTGGGAAAAGTCAACATGAAGGAGCTCTTCAGCATCTCCAAGGAGTTCTGGGAGGAGGAGGTGGAAGACATCGAGAAGTACCTGGAGGACCAGGTCAACGCCGACCTCCCCTACGAAATCGAGAGAGAGGTCCTCGCCCTGAAGCAACGAATAAGCCAGATGTAACCTGAGCCCCAGAGCCTTCGGAATGATCTTCTTTCCAATCCATAAGTGATGCTAGGAACAATGAAAAGCAGGGACAAGTTTCCCCAAATCTACACCACCGGCAGCACAGTAATCACCACCCCAATGAGCAGATTTGAGTGGCACGCTGATCTTTTTTAAAACCACAGAGTACAGGCTAGTAGCTAATGGGATTGGGAAGGGAAATCTTAGCATGTCTCCAAAATTCATATCTGGTGGATATTTTGTTCAACTTTTAAGTCACTCAGGCATCTGGTCTTTTTAGGGTTTTTTTTCACGTTAGCTATACAATTAGCTAGAATGCACAGAAAGAGATACTTGAGCTATGTATACGTGTGTGTGTGTGTGTGTGTTCATCACATTTGTACGGGTGTGTCTATACGTACTGTTACTTGAAGTATATTTAATACCTTTGGAAAAAAATCTCAGGCAAGATTACCTACTTGTTGCTAAAAAGAAATGTTGCTTTGTTATTAAAGTGTGTGTTTAAATTATTTTTATATACCATTGTTTCTTACCTTTACGTAATTGCAATTTTTCCCTCTTTCCACTTCTTGGAAAATAATTACAGAATAAACTTGTATAGAAAAGATGACTTTGCTTTGCTTGGTTTTTCTTACTTGAATCACCAAGAAAAAAGAACTCTGATTAAACATATTGGAGTCCAAATCTTCCCCTCTCTCAACAAGGTGGGGACTTTCACAATTGCCCTTGAAAAAGGGGAGAGCTGCCTGGGTGAGGGGAGCAGGGGGAAGGCGGATGCCGGGGAATGAGCCTGGGACAGGAGCGCAGAGGGTGATGCCTGCCTGAGGCTGTGGGTTTTCTGAATTAACCGAAACAGCCACCAGTTGGCGCCCTTTAACAAGTCTTCACACCAAGCAGCGGGGCTTGTGCTGCTGACCCGGGAGTTTCACATGAGCTTTTTGATAAAAATTTGGGTCTCTGGGACTCAGTCATCCACAAGAATTGCACAATGGGCGGTTTCGTAGGCTTTGCCTTTTAACACTTTTGAGCAATGCTCTTCTGTCATCCACAGGAGAGGAGAGGAGGAACAAAAGTGGTCTTCAGAGGGAAAAGTCAAAAGGGGCTGGGAATGTCGGCATTAACCAGTGCCTTCTGTACATGCAGCATCGTGCCAGCATCATGGGCTGCCCGCAGAAGGAAGGTGGGGTGTTTGTCCCCCGCTCGGCTCGGCTCTGCCTTGAGTCCTCCCTGGCTGCCTCTGCTCCCAGTATTTGCTGGGTGTTCCAGAACAGTCCAAACAAACCATAAACTTTACACTGCACATTCATTCTGTAGATAAACACCGCTTCCTTCAAGTTGGTTTTTTTTTCCTTGCTGGGCCCAGACTGTGAAATTGGCTTCACCCTCCGCCACCCTCCAGTGAGCAGGCTGGTCCTCAGGTTAATCGCGAAAGCTCAGCTTTCTCCCCTTCCCCAGCTGACAAACTGCTAAGTCCCTCCACCTCCTTTGCTCCTTCCAGTGGCTCCACATGTGAGGGGAAGCCAAGATCACCCCAATGATATAGGCAAGGAAACTGAGGCCAGGAGTGTCCGCTGGGACTGGGAAATAGCCAGAATTTTCATTCCCTTTCAGGAGCTCAGAGTCTGACCCAGCTCCAGACAAATGGGCACATTCTAATACCCAAATCACTGATGGTGACAAAAACACTTAATAAAATTAAATGCTGCCTGCTGTATTAATTTAAATCAAACTTGTGTCTTCTTTTCACGGCACCTACCCTGACTTAGAAACAACGTCAAAAGGACACAAAGCAGGAGATAGTGCGTCTGAGGCTGGGGCAGGAGTCAGGGGCCCAGGCTACCTACTACCTGGCCTCTGTTTCTCCACCGCATGGGACCCCCAGGAGGGGTCACCAGGATATAATTTATCAAAATATAATTTGTTTGGGGCCTCCAGCAGCCTCTGCTCCCTTGGCAGGCAAAGCTGGCTGTCTCTGAATTCCTCATGGTCTGCCCAGTGTCACCCACCTGCCTGGCAGCTTTGTTCTGACCATGTGGCTTCCATGGGACCCTGGAAGCCTGCGAGACAGTCTAGAGGAGGTAACTTACACAGCATGAGAGTTTTTAGGGAACTAGAATGACTCAAAATGTGTGTTCCTGGCTCTTGACTCAGGTTCCCCCAAATATGTGTCCTACCTGCTCCATCTGTCTCCAGGTCCTGGTTCCTGTGCTGGGACCTTTGGCTGCACTAACCATGATACTGTGGCCTCACACATCAATGTTATCTTGTTGTGCCTTCATATAGTACAAGTGTACACGCCAAGCCCAACCACAGTAGGTTCAGAGGTGAGCGGCTCGTAACTCAGAAGCGGAGTTGGAGTGGGGACGAAAGCCAGAGCCTCCTGACTTCTGGTCACCCCACACACCAGACCACGACCCCCAAAGCAACACGAAGACTGACGTCTTCTATTGGGATTCAATATAGGAGCTGCCCCCTGACCTCCAGGAGTTCCCAGAACCGCATCAGAGTCTGGGTTAAAGAGCAGAACACTGTGGTCACACAACAAATATTGAACGAGGACAATACGTCTATTCTCACTCCAAGCATTTAGGGGGCACATGACAAGTGAGCAGGTGGGGGTGGGTGGCTGAGGGAGGGTGCACTTGAGGGGCTACGAGCCTCTCTCCTCTCCCTTCTTTCCCTATCCTGGGGCTCACCCTAGCCCAGAGCCCTCTGGGTGCTATACAGGCTGCACTTTCCAGAACTGAGCGCTGGCTTTAGGAGCAGGGGGCATGGGCCAGGGCAGGCTCCCTTGATCTAAAACCCTGGCAGAGGGCACCAAGCCAGAGCAGGAGCTTTTGCTTTGTCATCGCCATCAGCAAAAAAGTGATAATCAAGTGAGGTCATCTAGGGAGAGGGCTGGCGCCCACCCCCCCTGCTGCCCTCTTCCCTTTCGCTGGGGTGGGGTGGGGATGAGACCACTGACAACCTCGGATGCACCCCAGCCCTGCGCCCAGCCAGGAGGGTCTTCTTCTATCTCATTTGTGCCACAGGGGTGATGACACCAATGCTGAGGTCTGAAGGCACGGCCCTCGGTGTCAGAGGGCCTGGATGTAAGTCCCAGCCACTGTCCCTCACTGTCTGTCCTTAGGTAATTGTGCAAAACTCTGAGCCTCCATCTCCTCACCTGGGACATGGTGTGAGGACTACAGCTTCTCCAGGGGGCTGTCAGGAGATGACACCAGGGAGGGACTTGGCACATACACGCCTGGGGAGGACGGCCACTCCCATTTTTATTTCACTTTGGTTTTCCAGGGTGGGGGCAGGGCCAGAGGCAGGTGCTCACTGCCCCCGCAGCGGCTGTCCATTGGTGACGAGCTGTGGGTCAGAAGGTGATATCTGTCCTCTGCGTAGCCTCTACCTTGGTCCTGCTTCCACCTTAGAATGCAGGAGAAGGGGCTGAAAAGCAGGAGAAGGGGCTGAAAAGCAAGGCCAGTCGGATGATAGGAGTGTCACCAAGCGCCTCCCTCAAGGTAGCACCTCCACCTCCCAGACGGGCTGGCCGGAGGCCCCAGGTTTGGGTCCAGAAATTCTACCTGTAAGAAGTATTGTCCGATGGGGAAAATCATGAATGTGTCCACAGATTTAGCTGTCAGGGCGCTCATTATAGAGTTGTTATTTATCGTGACCAAAACTCAATGCCCCCATATAGGGGATTACTTAAGGAAACTGTCGTTTCTCCCACGACAGACAACTAGACAATCGAAATGACTCTGCAGATGACAATTTGTGGACATGTAATATTTGCTGCCCACTGTCATGTGTGAAGTGTCTTGAGTATTTGTACATTTATGCCTAGAAGAAACTAAAACAATAGACCATGAAATGGTAACCAGTGCCAAGTGTGTGGACCTGAGCAGACCTCCCATGAGGACAAGGGCACACAGCCATCAAGGTGAGGTGGGGAGACCACAGCCCTTCTCTCTGTCGCTTGAGCCCGACATTGAACATGGCAGGGCCAGAGGGTTAGATGCTGAAATATCCCCACACCAGCTGTTGACAAGCTGCTGCCCGGTCCCCCTGACTAACTGCCCCCACATCCAGCCCAGGCCCTCCCCTGCGACCCCCAGACCTCCCCGTATAGCTGAGGGCCTCCCAAGCTTGGCTCTGGAACCATCTCCGAGGGCGAAATGGGAGGGGGTCTTGGCCTCCGCAGCTTGATATTTTAAACATCGCTCTGTCCACCGTCCTCCTGAGGCATCGTGGCTACACAAACTCCCCTCAGACCTTTGCTGCAGACTGGAGGGTTGGCAGAGGCAGGAAGTGCCCCCCCATGCAGAAAACCCCGAGTTAACTGACTTTACCCTGATAGACAAAGCTAAAGTTTCTCCCACGGGGTAGAATGGGGGCTTGAGGCAGAGATGAGTTTTGGAGGGAGGAAAGCAGATGACTTTTTCCCTCTTTCCTGAAGTTTTGCCGTGAGCTTTCTTGTTCCCTCTCACACAAGAAGCTCAGCACAGTGCCGGGGGGGGGGGGTCTTGGGAGAGGCTCAAAACACAGGCGCTAGTGAAGGCCCCTCCAGGACCGCCCAGCAGATCACAGGGAGAGCAGCCAGCCGATATGGATGACGACTGTTAGGGAACTGTTTCCACCACACACCGTGTGCTCTGTGCCACCTGGGCCCTCGCTCAGCCCCAGGACAAAGCTCACAGGTTGCTCTGATGCCACAGAGGCGGGATTTGGGGCCAACACAGAGGAGCAGCGGACGTCATTTTGTCCACAGTAGCACAGTAGCTGGCCATGTTGACACCTGCCGTGTCTCTGCGCTGACGCTTTTTCCGGGGGGTGCTCGGCCCACACAGCCTGGCCGCAGCACAGCCTTCGGGGCCCTACGCCCCTTGGTAATGGGATATGTAAATGTGTGGACGAGTGCCAGACTGAGTGGTGGAACTCCTCTCCAGGCGAGGCAATTTGCAGCAAAATATGCTGTAAATATTTGTTCAGCCCGGGAAAATGACTTTAATTGCATAATTAAACTTGTTGTAGATGCTGCTTCCGGACAGAATGACTGGGGAGAAGGGCTGAGCCCACAGCTGTCCCCAGGAGTTTGCTGAATAGAGGGACTGACTATCTGTTTGCAAAGGCTTTGCTCTGTCTCGGCCTTTCCACCAGGAGGCGGTAGTTTTGAGAAGTCAGGAAGGATGAAGACTAGGAGCTGGAGGGGAGGTTGGCTGTTGGAGAGAGGAGGGAGCAGAGAGGTCCCCAGATCCGAGGGCCTCCAGCGAGGAGACTCACAGACCTTCACACAGGACCTGGAGCTGTTTTCCAAACATCTTATGGCTGTGCCACCTCCACAGACAACCGGTAACTTAAGCAAATGATCAGTTCACTTAAGTGGAAAAATATTAGTAGACTGGAAGAAATTTGCTTTTAAAAGAAAATCAGCAGTGCATCACAACTGTAAATGAAAAATCAGAATTCCTTGCTAAGGGGATTCTATCCACAGGGCTAGGTGAAGGAAGCTGGCCGCCAAAGTCCAGTGTATTGTATCACCTCATCTAAACGAAATGTCCAGAATAGGCACCTCTGTAGGGACGGAAAGTATATCGGGGGTTG